TCCTCCGAGGATTCCCCCCTGGAGCTGCTGGACACCTCCTGCTCCTGCACCGGCTCCAGCTCCTTCGCAGCTCGCGAGGACCACGCAGGAGAAGCAGCCTCCCCCCCCAGGCCCCCGTCTCCCAGGGAGGATGCAGAGGATGCTGCTGCCCGCCGCTGCTTGGCCCTCTGCCTGCCCACCTTGCCCCCTGCCGCCCCCCCGTTGCTCTTCACCGCTTCGGAGCGGGAGGTGTATGTGGGGGCCCCCCTCGAACTGCTCCAAACACCCGGTGCCTTTTCAGAGAGCGGGGCGGGCTGGCAGTGCCGGGAGGACCGGCAGCGGGTCACTGCCATGCTGCAGGGCTCCTTTGGGGATCTGCCGGCCCCCCGCCTCCCCCCCAGGCCCACAGAGCCCCCCGAGGCATCTGCAGAGCCCCTGGAGGGTCCCCTAAGTGATGGGGCAGCAGAGGAGCCCATGACCCCTCTGCCTGGTGATGCCCGCCCGGGCCAGACTGCTGGGGAAACCGATGCCAAAGTCCTGGGGGAGAGCAGCCCCCCGAGTCCCCCCAGTGAGCCCCTGGCACCCTCCAGGCAGCAGGAGGAAGAGGAGATGATGGTGACAATGGAGGGGACCCCATCCAGCCCCCAGCCCGCTCTGGGTGCCAGCCAAGGGGGGGATGCTCAGCCAGAGCCCTCCCCGGAGCCAGCCAGGGATGCAGCCCCCCAACCCTGCCCCGAGCCCCCCAGCGTGCTGCCAGCCCCCTGCCCTCCGCTCCCCAAACTCAGCCAAGTGCCTCCTCTCGCCGCTGCCCCATCGCCGCCATCGCCACGTCCCGACCCAGCCCGCGGCCCCCGGGACACCTCATCAGGGCTCCCTGCCGGCGAGGAGCGTCTGTCTGTTCTGCTGCCCACCAGGAAGCACCTCGAGGGTAAGAGGCACCCCCAGCACACACCTACCCATTGCTGTGGGGTGGGGTGGGCATCATCCACTGGTGGGCTGCTGGGGGTCCCTTTCAGGAGGTCCCAGGGTGTGTGATGGGGATAAGGAGGCTGGGTTTGACCCCATAAAGGGGATTTTGGGGCATCACCAGCTCAGCCCCCTCAGCCACTCTCTGCTTCCATGAGGTATTGTGGCACAGGGTGGGCATTGCTTGGTGCCATCTATGGTGGAGTGCTCAGGGTCCTCTTTGTGGGATCCCAGAGTGGGTTCAGCCCCACAGAAGGGATTTGGGGGATACCACCAGCTCGGCCCTACCCTTCCACTCCCATAGGGTACTGTGGGGGACCAGGGTGGACATCACCCATGGTGTGGTGCTGGGGGTCTGTTTTGGGTGGTCACAGGCTGTGTGATGGGGTGAGCAGGCTCAGCCCTACGGGGAGGGAGTTTGGGGGTCAGAACCGGCTCAGTCCCCTCTTGCCCCCCCTGCAGCCCCCCAGCCCTCCCCGCACAAGGAGAAGGAGGCCCGAGGCCGGCAGACAGGGCCGGGCAGCCGGGCTCCCCCCCGGGGGTCGCTGCAGTCGGAGTCGAGCTCCTCCAGCGAGGCAGAGGCTCCGTACCCCTGCCCCGAGATCCAGCGCCTGCGGGAAGCCGCCGGCATCGCCCTGCACCAGGACAAGCAGCCCCTGGCATCCCGCCGCTGTGAGGCCAACCACAAAGGTGAGAGGAGGGTCCCATGGGGCTCCCTCCCCACCGTGTTTTTCTGGGGTCAGAGCATGTCTCCATCCCACCCCTCTGCTTGGCCACAGGGTCCTGTAATGAGTCGGAGAGCAACGATGAGTCCATCCCGGAGCTGGAGGAGCCTGAGGGCTCGGAGCCGCCACCAGCGCAGACACAGGTTGGGGTGATTTTGGGGGCAGGATGTGGGATGTTGGGGCCCCCCCATGGTGCTGGGACTGCTCTCACCCACTGCTCTCTGGCAGGCGCAGCTCACCCACTCACTGGGCACCGGGGAGGAGACAGTCAGCAAGGCAAAGCAGAGCCGGAGCGAGAAGAAGGCCAGGAAGGTGGGATGGGATTGATGGGGTCACCCATGGCACAGGGGTCCTCATCCTATCCCAGGGATTGGAGGCGGGGAAGCCTTGGGGTGTTGGGGGCAAGTCCCCACTTTGGGGGTCTCCAGGTCATGGGGGGTATTGGGGTGATGTGGGGTCCCCTGTCCTGGTAGGGGACTTGGCCTGGCTGCAGCTGGGGGGACAATGGTGTCCCACAACCCTGGGTTTGCTCTTGTCCCAGGGGTTGGGGTGTTGCTGGGGGGCTGGAGCCCTCTTCCTTGGCTGCCCTGGGATGGTGGGACATGAGGTCATCTGTGTGTGTGTGTCCCCAGGCCATGTCCAAGCTGGGGCTGCGGCAGATCCACGGCGTCACCCGCATCACCATCCGCAAGTCCAAGAACATCCTCTTTGTCATCACCAAACCCGATGTCTTCAAGAGCCCCGCGTCTGACATCTACATTGTCTTTGGAGAAGCTAAGGTGAGGGGTGGGGGGTGCCCCCCTTGGGGCTGGCAGGGACATCCCTTTGGGGACGGGTGGGTGATGCTGTGTCCCCGCAGATTGAGGACCTGTCGCAGCAAGTGCACAAGGCGGCGGCAGAGAAGTTCAAGGTGCCGATGGAGCACTCGCCACTGATCACGGAGACGGCCCCGACCCTCACCATCAAGGAGGAGAGCGAGGAGGAGGAGGAGGTGGGTGCTGGGGCAGAGGGGAAGCCCCGGTGTCCTGGGGACAGGTCAGGGCTGGGGGCGTGACAGTGGTGTTCCCACCTTGCAGGTGGATGAGACGGGACTGGAGGTGAGGGACATTGAGCTGGTGATGGCCCAGGCCAATGTCTCACGCCCCAAAGCCGTGCGGGCGCTTCGGCACAACAACAATGACATTGTCAACGCCATCATGGTGAGTGGCTGGGAAGGGGGGGGGACCCCCTGGCACCCCTAGCACGAATTGGGGTGCTGTGGGGTGGTCCCCTCACACTCTGCTCTTTTCCACAGGAGCTGACCATGTAGCGGCCGGCGCTGTCCTGGCCCCCCTGTATAGATGCACAGTTACTACCCCCTTTCTGCCATCCTTCCCCTATACACCCCCATACTTCTCCTCTGCGTCCGTATCGCTCAATAAATGGCCTCATGTATCACTTGGATCGCACCCCGCCTCTCCTCCTGGTGATTGGGGGGGGCTCTGGGCTGTCCTGTGGCTCATGGAGCTGGGGGGAGCACCTGGGGAATTTGGGTGGCTGTACTGGGACAGGTGCCTCTGGGGGTGGGATGGGGTGACAGGAGTCCCAAGATGCTCCTGAAGCCATCTGGGCTTTACCCCCCTCTTGCTAATTAGAGGTGCTCAATGAAGCCAGGCAACCCAGGAGGGCTGAGTGAGGGCTTTCGCAAGGAGACAAGCCATGGCTGGGTGCAGAACTGTATTCACCTGTAGCAACACTCCATACAGAAAACAGACACATGCGGCCTCCCGGTGCCACTGATGGGGAGAGGAAGGCAGGAAAACCCCCTTGGCTCCCAGAAGGCCACATCCCAGGTTATTCCCAGGTTTAAGTCCCATTGGAGTATTAAAATAACCCACTGCAAATGGTTACAGCTTGTTTTAAACCCCATCATACATAGTCATGCCACAAATAGGGTGTTTTCGCTTCCAAATCTCCTGAAGTTGTTAAACACTTGAACATCCACATGTGCAATTTGGGTTTTAATCTGTAAATCATAGAAAGGCACTAAAATAACTCCAGCCCCACACTGCTGCCTCCTGGGCTTGAGGAAGAGGAGAGGAGGAAGATCTCAGTCCCCAGCACCTAGGGACCCCATGGATGGAGCTGGCACCTTCATCTCCCTTTTCCTCGGCGGATGGCAAAAACACAGGGCAGGAGGAAACCATGAGCTTCTCCATCGCAGCTTGTTTCCAAGGAAGATGCTCTCTTTGATGGGTATGTCCTGGCTAAATCCTTTTTCCTCCTGCTGGAGGATGTGTGCTGGGACCCTTTGCCTTGCTCTTTTCAGCCTTGAAACTGGCAGAGAAAGGGCCAGCTGTATCCCAGCCTGGCACTGGAGTGATGCAGCCTCGTGTACCCCATGAGTCAAGGAGAAAGAAGGATTTGGGCTGTGAGGACCCTCTCTGGAGCAGAATTGGGGTCACTCTGACCCCAGCCTAATGTGGGGTGCAATGGTGACTCCGTGCCAGATCGTACCGGGGGCCAGTGCCTGCGCTCCTGGGACGGGCAGGTAAGGAACGGCCAGAGCAAGGTGGGGAGGGAGGACAGACGGATGAAGGCTGGTCTTTGCCTGGGATGGACAGGAAGGGGGCTGGGGGGAGGGGGCTGCAAGGGCAGAGCAGGGGTTAAAGGCACTGGGGGGTAAGGCCTGATCCCCCAAACTACTGAGCCAGCATCTGCTCTTAGAGCACTCCCAGCTCTGCCAGAGACACCCCTGGGTGCCAGAGCCTATGGCTGAGACCTGGGTGCTGCCTGGGATGCCCCATCCTTCCTCCAGGATAACTAGGGACCACCCCCCTCTCCTCTGGTGCCCGCTGCAAATGGCATCTCTCCCTCTGCATGGGAATCCTGATTAAAAAAATAAGTGTGTTATTTATAACTGTATATAAAACATGTACAACATGAACATCCCCTGCACACCCCCAGTCTTCCTAGGGTGCGCCCACGGTCAGCTCTCCCATCCTGGTGCTGGCCCTCAGGGATAGCAAAGTCCCCAGGGAGCCCTAGAAGCCACCATGCACCCCAGGGTGGCTGCCAGGGAAGACTGAGTTGACGGGAGTTTCATGGGGCAAAGCTTTGTGCTTGGCAGGAAGGGAAGGCTGTCGCAGACACAGGGGTCTGTGGGCACACAGGAATCCGCTGGTGGGGAAAACTTCAGCTGTGTGCCCCCCTCTCCAGCTCCTGGGGACCCCTGAGCAGAGCTGGGGGGATATGGTGGGGTTTTCAGGCCGGGCAGCAGCAGCAGCACAGGCATTGGCAGCTTCTCCTGTGGGGCTGGAGCCAAAACGTTTCGACAACATCAACACCAGGTTTAAATAATTCACATTGTGGTAAACTTCATTCAAAAACAGGGAGAGGAAGAAGAGGAGGAGGAGAGCAGTTATAATAGGGATACCATGTGCAAAACTGTAAACCAGGCAGGAGGCTGTAGGTGACCTATCTCCCCGCTGCAGCGGTAAAACCAAACTGGAGATGGCTGCAGGCTGGGCTCCTGCCTGGGGGTCCTCCATGGTAAGAGGGCACCAGCTGCCCCTTGGAGCTGTGAACGAGGATGGGAGAGTAACTGCATCCTGATGGAGCTCCAAAGCCTCTTCCAGAAGGTGAGGATCCCGGCGCTGCTGTGGGGTGTCTCCGTCCTCCCCCCGCTCGCTCTCAGGAGGAATCGCGGTCCATGCTGCACCCCAGGGCTTCGATGTCGTTGCTGATGTGCGAGATCATCCGGTCCCACTCGTCCTCCTCGGAAGGGACGGACTGGTCATCCGAACTGCCGGCAGCGCCGTTGCCATTGGTGGTGGAGTTGGAGGTGGTGCTCAGAGTCCGCCTGTACCTCCCAAAGCTGTCTGTGATGATGCCCCGGCCGTCCTTCACCCCGATGGTCTCCAGGAAGTTCTCAAAGTGTTGGCTGTCCTTCTCAGGGATGAAGGGGCGAAGACCTGGAGCCAGGAAGAAAACACGAGGAGGGAACTGTCAGCATCATTTGTATGGCACAGACACCTGGAATGGATTTGCACATAGATTTGCTTGGCTGTCTGAAACACCCCGGGGTTTCTGAGTGTTCCAGCAGAGCCCTGCTGTACTGTTGTGCCTCAGCTCCCCCGAACAGCACAGGGCTCAGCAGAGGAGCATGTTTAGGGGGGAGGGAAGGATGAGGTCTCCTGAGGACTCCAGCTCCCATTTTACACCCCTGAGAATTGCAGCCTAAAAAATCCTGCTAAAGTGGGATTTTCTGATTTCAAGAGGATCGTCTTCCAATTCCTCACCCAAACATATGGCTCGGCTTTACTGAGCTTATTGCTGTCGCTGCAGCAGCCCACGCTGCAGGCTGCACTCAGGAAACATCTGTGCTGTCTCCCTCGTGCCTCCCACCGTGGGGCAGGGTCTCCCTTGAGGGTGGCTGTCACCTGCTGGAAGCAGAGGGGCAGCAGGATACAGGCTAGACACACCACTGATTACCCTTTGAGGATTCTAAATAACCAACTTTTTAATGGTTTTGTTTGTAATTAGAGCTGGGGTGTCCATGTTGCTGACAAGGATGTTGAGCAGCGCCAGTCCCAGTATAACCCCCTGAGGAACATCCCTCGTCACTAGCCTCCACTTGGACATTGAGCTGCTGACCAAAACTCTTTGAGTGTGACTATCCAGCCAGCTCCTTATCCACTGAGTGGTTTATCTGTCAAATCCATGTCCATCCAGTTTAGAGACAAGGATGTTCTGTGGGACAGTGCTGAAATGCCTTGCACAAGTCCAGGTAGATGATGTCAATTGCTCTTCCCTTATCTTCCCAAAATCAAAGCAGGGAGTTTGAGGAAAGAGGCTCTCAGCTTCCTTCTAATGAAGAGGTACAGAAGGGTCCTGCTCCCCTGTCACGGTGCACACCCTCCTTCCAGCACCATGAAGTCCCCTCCAGGGAACACAGATTGAATATGCCTGGATGTGCAGCACATCCACCACCAGAATCGCTTGATGTCAGGCACTGCATGGCTGGCCAAGGACCCAAACATTCTCTCTCTCTCCACCAGTGGGCCCAGAGAATCCTAGTGCCTGGTCTGGAGGCTCCCTCTGCAGAGAGGAAGGAGAGGAGCAACTCAAGCCTATGAGGACGGGGCCTGAGCAAGATGGATTCAGCTGCCTTCAAGAAAGAGGTACCATCAAGGGAGAGACCAATCGAGATGTTGTTCCTTGCTTGGTGACATCCCAAGGAATCTCTGTGCCACCCACAATTACCTCTCTACCCTCTCAGGAGACCCATGCATCAGTGAGTGGTACCGGGCACATCACGAGGGATTGGGAGCACACTGATGCCAGCTCTCACCTTCCACTTGGTCACCCACAATTGATCTCTGGCAGCTGCTACTCACCTAAGAGCAGGAACTTCCTGCTGTCCCCATAGAGCTGCTTCAAGTTGATGCAGAATTCATGGATTGAAGCCCCGTTGCGATATTCGTGCAGGAGCATTGCAAATTGCTGGATCTCTTGGGAAGAGAGTTTAGTGCGGAGCTGCAGAACAGAAGCACAGTGCAACCATCACTGAGATTTTTTAGGAGGAAGAGATGATGTGGAGCCTGTGAATGGTGTTTATCGGGTTTATTGCTAAGAGCTGCACTAACAAACAAGCTCATCCCAACGGAAAAGCAGGACAGGCTGGTGTGACCCACTGTGGAACTGGCAGCTTTCAAACAGGGATAAGCTGTGGGTGTACACAGGGCCTGTGACTCACGAAACGATGGACCTGGCACCCCGTGGATGGTGTAGCATGCCTTTACGTGGTGAGAGGGGACTAAGGGACTGGGGTGCTCCTGCAGAAGGGTGTAAGCCTGCGTTCAGGTCCATGAGGCCTCCAAGTACAACTTGTATGAAAAGGAAGATGAGATCTTCCTGTATCAGCATGAGCTCATGCTTTACACATCAGTGCAATGAAACCAAATCCCAAGAGCACTTGAATGCCTTAAAGGGAAGAAAACCCATTCACGCCAAGGCCCTGCCACCCAAGGACGCCCTACCGTCATCATGTAGTCCTGGAGCAGCTCTGTTGCTGTGGTGCTCAGCTCACTCTCGCTGACTGTCTTAATGTGTGGAGACTGTTGCGTGGAGAAGGAAGAGGGGGAGTTGTCACCCGCATCCAAGGTTTCTGGAAAGGAACTGAAATGCAAACAGAATGTGAGACTTCCAGATCTACTTGGCACCTTCTGTGTCACTGGTGGTTGTGGCATGGGAGGGCCTGGAAAAGTGGGGAGGCACATGGAGACATGCTCTCTGCAGTCATGCTGGCAGCCTACAGCTCCTGAAGGGCATCTGAAGGCTCCCATACAGCACAGGGTGGGACTTTAACTACATTGGCTTGGTGACCTGCTGAAAACGAAGGCTTATGTGGGGAAATCTCCCCTCCAATTGCTTTCTCTGTTTGGAATGGGGGGGGAAAAAAAGTCAAAGCCCCTTATTTTGTGCTAAATGTTATATTTTCAAATAATACCAGTCAATTTTAAACAACTGGTTTGTGTGTCAGGTTTTCAGCCCACAAACGCTATCAATGTTTTCAGCAATCACTGATTCAGGAGGAAAAAAGTTTCCACAATACAGAAGTTTTGGGAAAACCTTTCTCCCCACTCCAGCTTGGACTTCACCAAGGCAAAGCAGCTGGGCAAGCATCGTACCCATCCCCACTTTGCCAATGCAGGGGACTGGGCATATGCTGCGTACGTGACCTTCTCTGGAAACCCACAATGGTGGAACAATCGAGGCAGGGAGCAGGGCACTGCACACAGTAAAAACACCATCCAGTGTTTCAGCCAGACTGAGCAGAAGCTTTTCAATGTGCAGACAGCAGCAGTTCCTGCTCTGGGGGCTTTAACCCTGGCAGCAAGGCCACACTAATAAGCCTGAGTGCCGAGTGAGCACAGCATGCCATATTTAACTTACAAAGTGCTTGCTTCTGTTTCGTAAGATTCCTTAACATCCACTTTTGTAGAAGAGTCATCTGCAAGGAAAGCATTTGAGACATAGGAGTTTGAGAGGCAGAAACTCTGTGCTTTTCACCAGCCTGTGACCTACACAAATCAATTTCTGACTCGGTTTTCCCAGCTGGAAGGTGAGAAGTCCAGGGCTGGGGCCAGGATGGTGCCAGCGGTGCTGTTGCAGGATGGGACACAGACTCAGCAGAGATGCAGAACCACAAAAGGATTGTTTTATGAACTGCTTCCATCCAACATGAATAGAAAAGCAAGAGGTTTGGGGGGAAAGGATAATGGTTCATGTCCCACAGCCCAGCTGGGGAAACATCTGCAGGAACCAGAGAGTCTCTGTGCCTGTCCAACTCACTCACACTCAGTTAAAGCAGAGGAGAGGGTTGTTTTCAGTTCCTTGCAGGAGAGAAGCCATCAGATCAGCTCTGACCTCAGAGGGTGGCAGGAGAGAGGTGGTGGACGTTGGTGAAAATGAGGAGAGAATCTCAGATGGGCCCGGTAAGAAAAAGGCAAGGGGCAGAGCCCAGTCTTACCACTGTGTAAGGACATGTGCCGTGTTGGTGTGGAGGCCCCATCAAATATTGCTCTGTCCAAGAAGTCTATCGTGGACTCAGTGTAAACAATCTGGAAGACCTGGCTGAGAAGTGAGCACAGCTCCTCAGCAGTCACCTGGGGAAGGGAGCAAAGAAGTGCTGACACAAGGCAAAATGCAGATGCTGCGGTGGCCTTTCTCTTTGGGTTCCTAGGGTGGGTATGCCATGTGGAACAGTGGTGTGTTCTATTTGTAGGGCTGTCCCAGTGAGGACATGGAACCCACTTCTCCAAGAGTCTGGGCACTACCTGACCCACAGGGTCTCCAGGACTGGAGGTACCAAACTTCCACCCTTGTTAGCTACCTCCTGCTGTCCCATAGGGTTTTTCACTGCTAGAGGAGACAAACCCTGGAGATCTACCATCCCTCCAGAGAAGCATCCCAGCCCTCTTCAACCACCCAGACCCACGTGATAGGAGATGGGATGCTCTGTCATCAACCCACAGCTAGTATCACCCAGATTTCATGCTGACATTCTGTCCAACCACTTAGTACAGCCCCCTGGAATTTTGGCTACATAACCTACATCCCAAATAGATGCAGGCACCTCACAGACCATTAGAGCTGAAAACAAGGTAAGCAAAACTCCACTCTGAAGGCAAAAGTTTCTTGCTATTGAAGCAAGAACACACAGATCAAGATCAGAATCTCTGGATTCAGATACCAGATGAAACAAATTTCCAGGTCAGCAGCAGGAAAATGCCCTGGTTAGCAAAATCCCATTGTGGGAGGATTCAGTTGTCTTCACAGATTTGCTGCTGCTGGTGAAAGCCTGGGGCAGCAGGCACCACCACTAAGGGAAAATCATCTTCCAATCCTCTTATGTCCAAGTCAGGTCTGGGGCAGAGACCAGGTTTTCTCCTCCAGGTAGCACCCTGTGTGCCAGGAAAGCCCAGCCCCCAGTCTTGCAACTGGGCCTATGTGTATCACACAATATATGGCCAGGTAAGTACCCAGTCATGTAACAGAGGGGATACTTGGTGAGAGCAGGATGAGGCCACCCTGGGGCTGATGGCTTTCCACCATCCACCTGAGAAGTTGTGGCCACCCCAGTCTAAGAGCCAGAAAACCTCCCCCAGTCCCAGTGTGGTCACAATCTGAGTGTGACTCCAGAAGCAACCCCAACGTGGGGAAGTTTGAATGGAGTGTCTTGAGTCTTACTTTGTTCTCCGTAGCCAGGACCACCAAGCAACAAGCTTCAACAGGAACCACCCCGCTCTCAGACAGCGAGCCTGAAGTAAGTGCTTTGGAGCTCTCGGCACAGAGACTCTGGCTTGGGGAGATCCCAGGGTCCTGAGCTGAAAAAGAGAGAAGTCGTGACGGAAACCTCGAGGCAGGGAAAGAACAAGGAGGAGTCCTCACATGGCAACCTGGACTCTCAACAGGATGCCTGTGGGGAGAGCAAAGCCCCTAGAGCAGGAGCACAGAGTATCCCATGGCCAGGAGAAAGTACCGTGGAGGACAGAGCTCCCAGAAGCTCAGGATCTGCACCTGAACACTGCACAGGGCCAAAGTCTTTAATGCAAAATCTTTAATTTAAAGCCAGTTCTTGACAACTCTGTAAGCCACCAGCCTCAATTCCATGGCTTAGCCAGCTTCAGAAATCCAGCAGCAGAATTACAGCTTTCTAAGTCACTTACTCATCTACTGTATAGCCTGTCCTTTGCTGTCATAGGAGCATAATCCACTAAGTCACTGCCATTACATCTTTTAAGTAGCTCCGCGCTCTCCGGGTGCTCAAGCCCAAAACCACGCAGGTGTGATAAGCACAGAGTTGCTAGGAACAGACTGGAGGCAATCCCCAGGTATGACAAAAGGTGAGGTGTGTCAGAAGTGGTACCACCCCCCTTATTCACCACAGGCATTTAGACATCCAACGTGGTGATGAAATCTTCCCAGCAACAGCCCAAGGGTTGTGAAGAGCAGGACAAGTTCCAGGCACAAATTCAGGCTGGGGGAGACTGGATGGAGAGCAGCCCTGAGGAGAAGGTCCTGGGGAGGCTGGTCGATGAGAAGCTCCCCATGACCCAGCAGTGTGCACTTGCAGCCCAGAAACCAACTGTCCCCTGAGTTGCATCACTAGCAGCGTGACCAGCAGGGCGAGGGAGGGGATTCTTCCCCCTCTGCTCTGGTGAGACACACACACCCCACACACCCCCCCCCCAGTTCTGTGTCCAGCTCTGGGGTATCCAGCATAGGAGGAATGTGGAGCTGTTGGAGTGAGTCCAGAGGAGACCACGAAGATGCTCTGAGAGCTGGAGCACCTCTGCTATGGAGAGAGGCTGAGAGAGATGGGCTTGTTCAGCCTGGACAAGAGAAGGGTCCAGGGGGACCTTAGAGCAGCTTCCAGTGCCTAAAGGGGCTGACAAGAAAGCTGGAGAGGGGCTTTTGACAAGGAGCCTGTAGGGACAGGACAAGAGGGAATGGCTTTAAGCTGACAGAGGGGAGATTTAGATGAGATCTGATGAAGAAGTTCTTCCCTTTGAGGGTGATGAGTCCCTGACACAGGTTGCCCAGAGTAGCTGTGGCTGCCCCATCCCTGGCAGTGTTCAAGGCCAGGTTGGATGGAGCTTGGAGAAACCTGGTCTAATGGAAGGTATCCCTGCCCATGGCACGGGTTTGGAACTGTGTGAGCTTTAAGGTCCCTTCCAACCCAAACCACTCTGTGATTCTGTGAAGGGCACCTTGGTCTGTTCTCATCCAACATAACCTTTGTCCTGTTTCTTGTAAGGCTGGCTGCCATCCCCCATGAGCACAACTCTTGCTGTTGTGAGACTCTAGCTTACAACCCCAAAATACAGCAACCCCAAAATATGATGCCACAGCTTGTGCTGGCTACAACCTACCTGTTTTCAGCACAACCAAGTGAGAGGAGTCATCTCGGATGTAGGAAACAGACGCAATGTCATGGATGGGGACCCTGAGGATGAGATCTTCTCCATCCCTCCACACCAGCTTGATGTTGTAGGCAGAGAGGCTGATGACAGCATCATGTTCTTGGGTCAGCTGCCCTGGGAGCTGGTGTGCTCTCTACAAAAAATTTACACTGATTTGCTCAAATGTTTCCTCTGTGGTGATGGGCTGGTAATGAGCTTCCCTCCCATGTTCATAATGCCAGGATGAAGGACACCAATTAGACCAAGACCCAGCCTGAAGGCAGCTACAAAGTCTATTCTATGCTGCACGGAGAGGTGACAGAGTAGGTCACTCAACATGCTAAGTGCTCACCTTCGCATTATCGATCAGATGCAGGATTTCCGTGCGGCTGGAGGGATTCAGGTACCCTGGGATGGATGTGAGTTGACCTAAATACTGGGAAAGAAGAACCAATCCATTACCACAGTACAAACACACAGAGAACAGCCCCAAACACACCAGCTACTGCAAGACACTATCAGCACAGAGCAAAGGGGTGGTAGCCAAAGGCCATATTTAGGACATGCTATGTATGGAGGATCTGTCATGCCCTGAAGACATCATAATGCTCTATATAGTTATATATAGTTCATATATGTATATCTACAACTATATATAGTTACATATATAGTCTACATAAATATATCTATATATATATTCAAGTCCCAGCCAGGCAGATGTTACCTTCACTTCTTTCTCAATGTAGTCATTCAGCAGCACATCTGGTTCGACGCGATCAGGCAGGGACACCACCACTGTATGCAGAGGCCGCCTCTCCGTAACTTTCTCCTGGGCTTTTTTATCTCTCCCTTTTTCGCCCTTCAGGAAGACTCGTTTGAAAGGAGACACTATTCCAGGCTGAGGAGAGAAGGAGAAACACCAGGGCCTTGGGATTAAGGGCAAGAAAGGGAGTTTCTGCAGAGAAATGTAAGAAAACTACAAGAGCAGGTAGGGATAGGACAAGGCGGAATGGCTTTAAACTGACAGAGGGGAGATTGAGATGAGATCTGAGGACAAAGTTCTTCCCTGTGAGGGTGGAGAGGCCCTGGCACAGGTTGCCCGGAGAAGCTGTGGCTGCCCCATCCCTTCAGTGTTCAAGGCCAGGTTGGATGGGGCTTGGAGCAACCTGGTCTGGTGGAAGGTGTCCCTGCACGTGGCAGGGGGTTGGAGCTGGATGAGCTTTAAGGTCCCTTCCAACCCAAAGCAGTCTGGGATTCTGTGATTCTATAAAACCATCAGTACTCACTGCCCAGGGCTCCTCCAGCCTGTAAATCTGCACTCACAGCCTGGTTTGACCAGCCTTAACCCCTGAGCAGTCTGGATTTAGAGCTATGATACCACAAGTGCAGGATCGTCCACTGAAAACTCTTTTCCTGGGACATGTCATGAGAACACAAATGCCTGCTACCAAAATGGGATGTTTTACCCCTAAAGTCAGGATGCCCAACCTACTCAGATGAGGAGTGTTAAGAGTCAGCAAGTCATGGCCACATGCCTCCTCCTTGCTCCACATCCATTTTATATTTCACCCAAGCATTTGCAGCAAGCAACTCTATGAAGGATTGTGAAAGGAAAAGGCAGAGATGCTGAAAACTTGTCTGAGGTTTCTGAGGAGACCCACAAAGGTGAGTACATGACACAGGAGATGGTCTTCCCTGGGAAAACCAGCTACTGGCTGTTCCTGAAGCACTGAGTGCTGGATTTGGAAAAACATGGAAGCCAGCATGAGTCCACCTGGCAGCAGCATACACACATGGGCTCCCAGGTATAGAGGGAGACTTGCCACGGTCCTTCCACCTCGGCATGGGGCAGACAGCCCAGAAATGCTGCACACCCAGGGCCCATCACCAACCCGTGTTAGATCCCCACCAAGATCCTCACCAGCCTGCCCCATGGCTAAATGACTGGGAGTGTGCATGGATGTCTCCAATTCAGTTTACCAGCTCCAGTGGATGTTTTGAAGTGGGCAGATCCAGGGCTTGGGATTCTCAGCAGTGTGAAATGGCCACTGCATGGACTGGAGGGGAAAGGCAGAGTTCCTAAGCTCCTCAGTGGATGCCCCATGCATGCTCGGCTCTGGCTGCCCCATCCCAAGGCAGTGATGCTTTCTGCATCCCACTCCTCAGGGCAACCACATCTTGACTTCCCTGATTCTGCACAGGCAGAAAAGATGGTTCCAAGGCAAATTAATTAAATATAAACCAAGTGCTTCTGCTCAGGCAAACACGGAGTGCTCTGCAACCTGAAAGAACAGCACCCTCCAGCAGATTCAACTCATCTCTTGCCACCATCCACTGCAGGACTTTGCCTTAGAAACCACCATCAAGAACTGCTGCAAACCTTTCACCTAAACCACTCGAGCCTTGCCACAGCACATTATAATTGGCAGGGGAACACCATCACCACGTCACCTACTCCCTGCACAGCAGCTAAGGACCATGCTCAGGTGCACGTGTGGGATCTGCTCCCATCAGGCAGCTTCAGCCTCTCCCGTTGCTTTTCTCAGTGCAGACGAGCATGGGTCGGTGTTGGGACCGGCGCTGTTCAACAGCTGTGTCACTGACATGGACACTGGGACTGAGCACCCTCAGCAAGTTTGCTGACGGCACTGAGCTGTGTGGTGCAGTCAACAAACTGGAGGGAAGGGATGGGATCCAGAGGAACCTGGACAGGCTGCAGAGGTGGGACAGTGCCAACCTCATGAGGTTCAATAAGGCCACGTGCAAGGTCCTGCACATGGGACGGGGCAATCCCAAACTCAAATACAGGCTGGGGAAGACTGGATTGAGGAGAGCAGCCCTGAGGAGAAGGACCTGGGGGTGTTGCTCCATGAGAAGCTCCCCATGACTCGACAGTGTGCGCTTGCAGCCCAGAAAGCTAAGCTGGAACTGGATGAGCTTTAAGGTCCTTTCCAACCCAAACCACTCTGTGATTCTATGATTCTATCTACAGGAACAAGAGAGGTTAAAGCCAAACCAAAAGAATTTGAAACAGTTGTATTAGGATGGGAAAGTGGGATGGAAAAGCTCCTGGCTGAATAGTATTTACCAGCTCCCAGAGTGAGCCAGGCACCACAAGGACATCAGGGACAGCGCGGCCCTGAAAAATGTCCCTTGGACCAGGGAGATAAAAATAGAGTTTGTAGGACAGAAGGGACAGAAAACAAATCTACACAACGCTGGCCTTGTGAAACAGCTCTGCCTTCACAGCAGCAGGACCAAGACCACCAAGCACTCCAGGTTCTAGGGAAGGCACCCTGTTGAGGGGCTGGGACCATTCCTAGCCTGAGAAAGAAGAAAATCCTGAACACAACAACTCTTTCTTGCCAAGACTGGTACATGGGGGGCTCTGCCTCTCCACCTACAAGAGTATCCAACCCCAAACCTTGTCTGCTGGCACATAAATGTCTCATTCCACCAGCATACTGTAGGAATCAACAGCAGAGATGCAGAAATCTGCTGCCGAGGTCAGGGTTGTGCCACAATGGCCCCAGAATGCCTTCCCCTCCACCAGCCAGGGTCTGGCAGCTCCAGCTCAGTTCACCTCTCCAAGGACCTGTCCCAGTCCATATGGAGCAAACCAAAAGAAACTTGCTTTTCGCTCAAGGACACAGGCAGCCCCTGTAGGGCTGGGAGGATGCAGTGATAGGACCATCCCACGCCCCCTGAGACCAAAGCCCAAATCAAAGCCCAAGGCGTTACCCCGCATGACGCAACGTGAAACAGCAGCTTCTGCATTTCTGGAAGCCAACATAAAACTAGCACCTACCTCGTTCTCCATTGAAGTACCCACCTAATGGGGATCAGAACCAAACAGTGCTGGAGCAGGGCCTTTGGTGGCTTCACTGAAAGCACCTCCGAGGGGCGAGAGAAGTTGCTATTCTCGTCTCAGGGGCTTCCCAAGCTCGCAGCCCATGCTGAAGGGCAGGCAAACCCAGCTCATGGCCAGGAAGTGCAATAACCACAGCTTCCTTCTGTTACACGCAGCAACAGTGACAAAATCAAGTTGCTGGTTAAGAACTAGCAAGGTCTGGCAGCAACAGGGCCAGGCGCAAGGCAAAGTGAGGCGCCGAAGCCCATTTCAGAAAGCTCGATCATGTTCCTGGCTCCCAGACACACTGGCCCGCTTCCTACACCCCTAAACCCCCTGGAACTCCTTGGCATCCTTTAGCCTTTGCCACTACAGCCTGGAGTTGCACCCAGGATGGAAATATCCCCAGCCCACAGGAGTTTTTAACCCTGGTTCTTCCCCTGAGTTTTGGAGCTGTTTTGTTCTCCAAGAGAAGCTGTGGCTGCCCCATCCCTGGCAGTGTTCAAGGCCTGGTTGGGCAGGGCTTTAAGCAACCTGGTCTAGTGGAAGGTGTCCCTGCCCATGGCAGGGGGTTGGAACTGGATGAGCTTCAAGGTCCCTTCCAACCCAAACCATTCTGTGATCCTATGATCTGTTGAGACCAAGGGCTGTGAAGACTTTTCAGGCTCTGTATTTCTAGTCCTTAAGATGCACATTTGAAAAGTAAAGCTTGGAAATGAGGTTACGACTTTCCTGCCTGAGCCAAGGCCTCCCAGGAGGCCCTTCAGGAGAGCGCAAAGTGTTCAAGAGAGCCTTGCAGGGCTCAAACGTGAGCCCGAATCAGGCCCAGAGGATTCATGAAAACAAGTTGCTCATTTCACAAGCAGAGAATCAAATTAAACAGGTGAAGTCAGTGATTTCCCTGATGAAATCTGTGTGCTGAGCAGAGGCAAAAAGGAGGTCAGTTGGAGAAGTGGCACCTGAAGACCTGACAGGCTGCAGCCTGTTGGTGCTTGCACCTTGCAGGTTCTTCCCATCCTGGAGTGCAAGTGAACCTCTCCAGCACGCTGCCTAATTAGTAGGGCTGGGGAAAGAAGGATCTCATTTCTCCTTAAAACCCATAAAATAAGCTTGTTTTCTCCTCCGACTCCTCCTTGCCCACAATATCAACCTCTGAACACAACTTCCCAGCCCACCTTCCTGCACTTCTCTCTGGTCCAGAGGCATCTGCAGCAGAACAGCTTGGGCAGCCCATAAAAGCCGCTAGGATGGGGAGAAGGCCTTATCTGGAAAGGACGGGTTCATCTCTGTGCCAGGGAACCAGCCAGGCACTGGCAGCACAGGCAAGAGATGCCAGGAGCTCATTCCCACATGGCTTGCTTCTCAAAAGCATATAAAAGCATCTTGAAGTCAGGAGAAGCAGCAGGGAAGGGGTTGTTACGTGAACACCTTGTGCCAGCCACGACTCAGCATTTCATGCTCCCAGCAGAGGATGGGAAACATAGTCACTCTTTAGGGAAACTTAGGTCAGTTCTCAGGACCTCCCGCTACCAATGCCTCCGAAATTCAGGAGGAAAAAGGTCATTTCATCCATTTAAGGAGGCATTTAAGACTTGGCTAATGCATAGAATCACAGAATGTTTTGGGTTGGAAGGGACCTTAAAGCTCATCCAGTTCCAACCCCCTGCCACGGGCAGAGACACCTTCCACTAGACCAGGTTGCTCCAAGCCCTGTCCAACCTGGCCTTGAACACTGCCAGGGACGGGGCAGCCACAGCTTCTCCGGGCAACCTGTGCCAGGGCCTCACCACCCTCACAGGGAAAAACTTCTTCCTCATCTCATCTCAGTCTCCCTTCTGTCAGTTTAAAGTCATTCCCCCTTTTCCTGTCCCCACCTGCCCTTGACAAAAGTCACATAGGTTTGAATGAGAGACACTGGAGAGGAACCAGAATGGAACTCATCCCACCTAGGCCCAGGGCACATGGTACCGGTGAGTGCCAGGGACCAACTGCCACCAAGCTGGTGGCTTGTTGGGCCTGCACACCCAACCATGCATCCTGGCCCCAGCTCCCACTGGGCTTTGGACATCCCAAGAGAGCCGTTTCTGGGAAAAGGGAGGATTTAAACTTCATTTAGATCACCATTGCTCCAGCTGGAGCACCTACAGTTTCAATTTCCTGCTTTCATTCAGAGCCCAGCCTCTTGTATCCATCAAGAAACCGCTGAGGCCTTGCATGGTCACTTTAAATACATTCAAGCCTTTGAGCTGAACGGGAAAGTGAAAGTGCATCCCTCCCTTAGCCGCAGAAACAGCTTCTTAATCCCCTTGAGTGGATTATCTCAAATTTGTAAGGCTAATTCTCCCCCAGCATGTCTGCATGGAGATTAATGGAGCCAGAGCTCTAAACAGCCACTCAGTGCTGCTGCTGGCTGGCAGTGCATCCCCAAGACAGCCTGCATCCCAAATCCAGTTATCCTGTTCCTAAAGGGATGCACAGCATGCTTGCTTTGGGTGAAGGCAGAACTCTCCTAGAGAGCTGCCAGCAGCACTTCAGGACCGGGCTACGTTTGGGAGCAGATCACAAAGCCAATCTTAAGCATACTGTTGATGTGAAGGCTTCAGCGAAGGGAGTATCTACACAAAGGCAGCACGTGATATAGCACTGTGTGAAATAATAAGCCCAAAGGGGCTCTGTGTGAGCTTATTGTCAGTGGCGGACACAAGCAAATGAAGAAAGGACCACAGGGCATGTGTAGAAGGACAAGAAGTCACAGGAGGTGCCTGTCATAACAAAATGTAAAACCAAGCAAGAAATAAATCGCATTCAGCTTGTTTAGAGAAGATGTGGCAGGTCAGAAATAAACTCCAACCAGATTCCAGCATGGCGATGCCACAGAAACATGGCTTTGTGGGTGCAGAATAGGCTCCCCAGCATCAGCCACCGTGCTCCATAAGCTGAGGGCAATGAGAGCACAGGTGGATTCTGACCTGGGAAAGCCAGACACGCAATGAGTATGTACTCTGTATATTCAAAGTAACGCTGCAAGTGCACAGCCCTGCCAGAAGAAGAGCTTATCATTTATCTTTCTTTGCGCCACAGAGAAGCACTGCAACAGTAATACCTGAAGGGGGAGACCGGGAGTTGTTCAGCCTGGAGAAGAAAGCTGTTTTAAGAGAAAGACCTCAGAGCAGCTTCCAGTGCGTAAAGGGACCAACATGAAAGCTGGAGAGGGGCTTTTGACAAGGGTAGGAAGGGACAGGACAAGGGAGAATGGCTTTAAACTGACAGAGGGGAGATTAAGATGAGATCTGCGGAAGAAGTTCTTCCCTGTGAGGGTGGTGAGGCCCTGGCACAGGTTGCCCAGAGGAGCTGTGGCTGCCCCACCCCTGGCAGTGTTCAAGGCCAGGTTGGATGTGGCTTGGAGCAACCTGGTCTAGTGGAAGGTGTCCCTGCCCATGGCAGGGGGTTGGAACCGGATGAGCTTTAAGGTCTCTTCCAACCCAAACCACTCTGTGATTCTATGAGGTGTTGTTTACTGATGCTCACCAAGACCTCCCCTGGTCCTGGACCAGAACAAGGCAGGAGGACTCAAACACGTACCAGGGGCAGCTAGGGCATTCAGGTAGATGTGACCTTTTCCAGATCACCCTGTCCCTTTAATTAGGTTTGTTTTGACCTGACCAATACTCAAGCTCATCCCCAAAGAAGCCAGTTAGATCTCTGAACTTGCAATGGGATGGTCAAGGAGTTAGCTCCTGTCCTTGCTATGAAGAGGACTGAGCTGCCTTTGACTGCTGTCTACAGCCCAAGGAGCTGAGCACAAGCCAAAACTCACGTTCCACAAGCAGCTCAGCAATGCACACAGCAAAGCCAAGCAGATTTGCAGTTGTCTGACCAGCAGTGGCACCCAGCCCAATGCTGGCAGCCCAGGTTTCTGAGCAGGGATGGGCTGCTGATTCAGCACTAAGGAGCAGGACCCTCTCCACATTTAACTTCAGAGGTAGTTTCATTAAGGAACATCATTTGGTGGTGACGTGTGGTAGGAAAACAGCCTCTGGTAAGACGGGATGGTCCCCACTACCCCAGGTCCCACAAATGCACCATTCAGACCCCACCGTTGCAAGGGAACAATACATCAAGAGCTCAGCAACAGGAGCCATGAAGAACCCCCTCGAAGGTCCATGTGGGATCTATGCTGAAGACCATCTTCTCCAGGCTGAACAAGCCCACCTCTTTCAGCTTGTCTCCACAGCAGAGGTGCTCCAGCCCTCAGAGCATCTTTGTGGCCTCCTCTGGACTCACTCCAACAGCTCCACGTCCTTCTTATGTTGTTGCCCAGAACAGGACTGCAGGTGGGGTCTCACCAGAGCAGAGCAGAGGGGGAGAATCCCCTCCCTTGACCTGCTGGTCACGCTGCTGGTGATGCAGCCCAGGACATGGTTGGCTTCTGGGCCCAAGCACACACTGCCGGGTCATGGTGAGCTTCTCATGGGTCCCCTTTCTAGTCCTGACAGCCTTCCTCCAACCCATCCAGCAGACAGATCTTCTCTGAGATCAGTCTGGCTGCTCAGAGAGCCTCTAGATCCTACCATCCTGCCCCGCAGCCTTCTGGTGGGACAATCTCCAGGTCCTCACATGGCTCCACATGACCTGGCTTCATCTCCCTGGGCTGGTTCTGCTGGCCCTGGTACCTCTTGCTGCTCCCCATCTCCCTGCAGGCTGACATGGAGCTGACCTCAGTGGCATCAGAGTGAAACAATAAAAAAAAAAAATCCCTATTTCACCCAGATTTGACATCACTGTATTTGATTCATAAGCCACTCCTCAACCAAACACATCATCAAATATAAGTGAGGTAGAAACAGACTTTTCCTAAAAAGAGTGAGCCTGGCACCCGAGTGCAGCTTCAAAAACACAAAGAGGGCAGCAGCTCAAGATGAAAGGCAACGGCTGCACAAAGCCCACTTACAAAGCAAGGCTCAGCTCTGTGTTTTCACATCTGGGACCGCCCTGCCAGCTAAGCTGGGCTCCAGCCTCCCTGACAGGATTTTCCTCTAAGGCAAGAGGAAAGGAATTTTCCCCGGCTATTTTTAGCAGAGCCTTGTTCCTCCTGCCGGAGAGATTCCTAAGGCCTGGCTCGGGCCTCCACCCACAGCTTTCATCCCTGGATGCACAGCTGAG